TGATTAAGTCCTTTTTCTTAAGGCTTTTGAACAATTATGAGTTTATTTTAAACCACAAAATATATCAGCACCAATAGTAGCAAGAAGGAACACTATTTATTTTCTATTCCATATTGACATGCTGTATAAAGTTTCTGGGGGAAAAAAAAGGTTAAAAGCCTATTAAAACCTTCTTTTGGCTGTGCTAATAAGCATGTAGTATTTGTAGTAGCTATCTGTACAGTTGGCTGGCTGCATTACCCACCTGACCTGTACTTGTAACACTGGGCTTGTAATATTCTGTGACTTTGTATCACACTATTAACACTGAACATATTAGGGATCATATACAACTGAAAGGTGGCAGTGGCCTCCTCTGACCCACAGCAGTGCTGGATTATTCAAAGGGGTCCTGTTTCTGGCACTTCTCAGGAGAAAATACTTTTTTTTTTTTTTCAATTAGTCATAAGTCTACACAGAAATAGAGTCGCAGCCTGCTTTTGTTGGTCTGTATCTTCAGAAAAGTTTAGTAACTCACCTCCAAGATGAGACACTGAAGGTTTTGTCTGACTTCCAAGAAGAAATGGGAGGACTTACAGGGGGAGAGGTCAGGTGAAAAGCCTATAGACTAGCTAGGTTTAGGAAGGAGAAGAATGTTAGGCTCAAATTTTCAGGGTAAAATACCCAGAAGAGCACTTATAGAAGCTGTATTTGGAGCTTATTTGTAATGTACAGCAATGTCACCAACAAAACATAATCCAACAGTAATTGATTCCTTTTATGTGACTGGTTATGTTTGCCCCAAGAAAAATCATTGAAAAAATTAATTAACATGCAAAAGACATAGCTTCTGCAATGGTACAAAAAATACTAATGATTTTTTTTATTTTTTATAATGTGACTAAGGAAGTGAGAAGCATAAGGCTTCTAGCCACCATTTTTTCTGATAACAAAACTCGTCTCACGCCTGTCTAGTTGCTTTCAAGTTACTTTGAGGAATATGAACATCTCAGTATTAGTTAATAAGCTATTTGTAAATACTTGAACATTCAAAGTCATTATTCCAAAGATATGTAGGCTAATATGTTAGCCTAATGTGATTCATAATAAGTAAAGGTAAGTATATTCATTTAAGTGAGTTAGAAAAGCGTACTTCACTGGCAGTAATTGCTCAGTGAACAGTCTCAGAGAATGAAGTAAGATTTTTTCATAGAAAGGGAATGTTTTTTGTTTGAAGGGACCTTTAACATCATCTAGTTTCAACTCCCTCCGGCATGGGCAGTGACACCTTCCACTGGACCAGGCTGCTCAAATCCCCATCCAACCTGACCGTGAACACTTCCAGTGATGGAGCATACACAGCTTCTCTGAGCAGCCTGGGCCAATGCCTCAACACCCTCACGGTAAAGAAAAGAACAGAAAGTACATTTCTTCCTAATATCAAATCTAAACCTATCCTCTTTCAGATTAAAGCCTCTTGTCTTATCACTCCATGTCCTCGTAAAAAGTCCCTTTGCAGATTTCCTGTAGGTATCCTTTAGGCATTGGAAGGCTTCTGTTTATCTCAGTGCTTCCTGTCAAACACCTCATTCTATAAGAATACCTAAAAGAAATTTAATACTTTTTAAATTCTTCCAGGCTAGTCTTTTTAAAGACTCTTTGCAGCTTATTAGAATTTGGCTTGTGTAGTCCTATTGGTGTCTGTCCTTTTATTTTCTTCAGTATCAAAGCTGTGTTAGTTCACTTAGGCTCCCTAAAAACTTTCTAATTTTCAGCAGCAGTGAAACTACTGCAATATGAATTTAGCCTTGAGAGACAAAAATTTTCAGAAAAAGAATCTGATTTGGTACTAAGATGTAAATAACTACCACTGCGTTCAAGTGAATAGTTCATCAAAATACATTTTTAATGCCAGAATTTTATTCTTACTTGGTATCATTTGAATTGATATCACTGAGTTATTTGCTCAATATTCTGTAAAATGAAATAAATATACATGAACATTACAAAAAATTTTAGTCTACCAACATATAAAAATATTATGAAAAATGAGAAAAAAGTCTTGGTAAATGATGCATTCAGAAAACCTTCACTAATATATTTGAAATCTGTTCTTTGGAAGAATAACTTTTCACCGTAAACCACAAATGTTTTCCCATATGTGAACAGTATTATTACAACATAGTAATTCTTTGTCACAGAAGATATCTATTAAAGAACTTAAGTACTTTTCCTCCAACTTGATTTTTGATATGGAAGCAGTTTCATTGTGTTCAGTGTGTTATATAGCACCAGACATTACCCTGCAAGGAAGAAAATGGTAGTCACTTCTAACCACCATTACCTGCTTTCCATCAACTTCCCAGATTTTCAGATGCCTATCAAATACATGTGTTGAAGGAAACCAGACACCCTCTAATTCATAACTGTCGTTCTAATTGGGAACGGCGGGAAAGAACGACACAGACTCTCAGGGGAGTCAGAACAGGAGAAATCTTCTAGTTTATTGCTTTAGGCTTGTTATATAGATTAGTTCGTGGAAAGTACAGAAAGGAAACTCTTATTGGTCAGTAAATCACCACATCACCATCATTGGTCAGTGGGGTTCACCACCCCCTGACTTTCTCCTGCAAGGAAAACAAGAGGACAGACAAACAGCACCTGGCAGTTGTTTTCTGTTTCTGAGGATTGTTTTGAAATCCTCCTATGAATTCTCAGGCTAGCTTCTCAGGCAGGACTGAGAGGCCATAGCCTGCAGCCTGCTCCAAAGCTAGCATCCATACATAACTGTAGTTGTGGTTTTCCACTGATTTACACTGTAACACTGATGGTGCTGAAGGACAGTGTTTCCTAGTTGTATGGGCCTCACCATCTTCCATCTGATTTTAATTCTTCAGCAATGCACACTATCAGAGATGCCATCCTAGCCTCACATTTGTGATGTGCAATATCCTTCTTAGTGGCAATTGAAATGATACAGTTAAACATATCTATATTATACATTATACAGTTTTTCAAATCTTGTTTCTCTTTAATTGAGAATGTATTAATTTTATAGCTGTACTGTGAAATAATAAGTAACAATATAAATATGTTAATAATGTGAGAAATTCCTTGGTTTAATTCTATGATAAGTGTCTCTGCATTACATAGAGTCAATGTTCAGTCTTTCAAACATTGTCTGTGGCCATGTTTATTGTGAGTGATATTGTATCCCGTATTTAGGAAAAAACCAAAAAAGTTACTGAACTCTAGCAATTTCTTGTATCTTAGTAATTTTTTTTTCTAGTAAACCAGTGATAAGTCCACTTAAATTCTGCAAACTGCTAAAATGGGAGGATTATTTCTGTAGTGGATTCTATGTTGCCAGACTAAAGGACACCAATGGTGTATTATGTATATTATGACAGAGACTGGTATTAGCTGTAAGAAATGTGATGCAGTGGAAATTATAGACTGTAATTCACAAGAGACTTTGCCACACCTGAACAAACAGCTGACTTCCGCTTTGAAGCAGGTTTGGTTTTGACTTGTGAAACTGTGACTATGGTGATAAATCTGAAGATAAATGCCTAATCCTGTTTTAAAATGCAACTAAATAGTTCTTTACATGAGTTGGGAACTGAAAATTCCAGGCTTTTAATATTTAATTTGGCAGTACAACCAATGCCTAATGCTAGTAAACATCACATTAGCTGTCTGCTGAGGATTATAGGCTTGCCTAAACTCATCACCTCATCTATGACATGTGCTGGAAGGACTGTCATTACCCCAGCAGAGACCAAGTTAACCACTTTTATAGGATTTACACTAAACAGCATTTATGTAGTGTAGCTATCCATTAAGCTATGCTAGAATCAGCAGAGTGCAGGGGATCTTGAAAAGTGTGTCAAGAAAAAAATCTCTGGCTGGGGTTCAACTCCAGAAACCAGGAAGCAGGGGATGGTGTTGAGGGAAAATGTACTTACAAATATTGGGTTGAAATAATAATGTGTTGCTCTTTATCCAAGAAATGAGAATTTTATCCAATTATTCTGCATGCACAAAATGTATATTTACTTAATCAGAATTTCAGAGAGAAAAGATAACTGACTAGTCCAGTGTCCTTCTCTATGGCTCCCTTTTCAAACAGGGAAAACAATGACTAGGCTGGTTTTTTTGCAAGTACAACAGCAAAATAATCCTTATTCCTTTTGGTTGCATGTACTGTGTCATTAATGACAAGGCTGAGAATTGCAGGAATCTGGGACCTCCTGTTTCCCTGAAAAGGAAAATTCTTGCAGAGAATGTATTTCCTTCAAGCAATCAGGCTGGGTTTATACCCTCCTAGGGAAGGAGACAGAAAATAATTATCTTTATTTACAGACATTTAAAAGCATCTTCTGAACCCCTGCACTCCATCCATGACATATATAGAGCCAGAAGTCCTTCCACTCAGGGTGCAGGCTACTTGCCTGATCCTGACTTCAAACATAAGTCTCCCAAAATGCTTTCCCACTATGCAGTTGCATAGCTAGCCATTCTTGTGAATTTCCCTTTTATATTTTCAGGAAAAGATATGGAGGAAAAAAAATCTGGAGTTACCTCCTTGTATACTAGTAGGTAGTATATTTTCATAAGGCATGCAAGAATGTTTGGGTGTTTTCTAATTTGTCTTTTTAGGCCATATTAGCTTAATGTTGGCATCTCAATGTTTCAAACTACAAAATAATGTTCAAATTGTACTCACAAGTCAAATAAACAAAATAATTACAAGAATTTGAATGCCTTGAATTTTCCAGAAGGATATTATGGCATAATATTAAATATTTTATAGTATGGAATTAATTTTGCTATTGACATTGAATTTTTATGAACTTGCATTTACATCAATGGTGCACATTTGACCATATTTTTTTCCCCTCAGGAAAAGAAAATATGACACAACCTATATATATTACATGTAAAATTTATATTCTTTCCCCACTCACATGAAAAAATGCATTACAGATTGCATCAGCTTTTTTTCTTGATTCCTACAGGCACAACAGCTAACAGATCTGGAGCAAAAACTATCAGTTGCAAAAGACAAATTGGAAAATGCAGCCCTTGACAAAGTAAGAAGTGTAATGTAATGTAAGCATGTTTACCTCTATCAGCTGTGGTTGTTTTGGTGTAATTTGACAAGAACAAATGAAAGCCTTGCAGTTATTTAGATGCATACTAAGTTGCATCTGAATTGTACCTGGGAGTGATGCTACTGAAATCAGTGGAGCTAATTATGATACATGAAGTTAAGCACATCTGCAAAGTTATTTAAGAAGAGGATGGTCAAATTAGAAAATAAAACAGATGAAAAAAAATTATACTGATTTTTAGTAGATTTAGATATTTATTTAATCATAATTTCTGCTGACAATAGACTTAGTGTCTCTCATAAGTTCATTTACACTAGAGCACTTTTCTATTTCCCATCATGGACCCTTAGAATGCTTACAAATTTGGCATTACCAGGCCCCAAATATCAAGAATAGTGTGGCCAGTAGGACTAGGAAAGTGGTTGTCCGTCTGTAAGGCCACATCTCACAGTGTTCAGTTTTAGGCCATTCACTTAAAAAATGACATTTTAGTGCTGGAGTGAGTTCAGAGAAGGGCAACAAAGCAGGTGAAGGGACTAGAAAGCATGTCTTCTGAGGAGCATGTGAGGGAACTGGTGTTGTTTAGTCTAAAGAAGAGAAGGCTCATAATCTTTGCTCTCTACAGCTGTCTGAAAGGAAGCCGTCATTAGGCAGGGATTGGTTTCTTCTGCCATGTCTCAAATGAAAGGATGAGAGGAAATAACCTTAAGTTCTGCCAGGGGAGGTTCAGATTAGAAATTAGAAATTTTATTTTCACTGCAGAAGTGGTTAGGCATTGGAATAAGCTGCCAACTATTAACAAAGTGAATATTGAATTATGCTATCCATAGGATGAAAACAAATTTACTTGTTCTTCTTTTACCTTTGGAATGGCAAAATTGGAATGGCTGCAGCCAAGGCAGAATGAGCACTGGATGGCAGGATTGAGAGCTGAGAGGATGAAAAATTATCCAGAGAAATTTCTGGATGACAGGAAAGTGATTTCAGATTGGTGTGATCTGTAGGAAGCACTAGGGTCATATAGGACTGGATTGACTAAGTCCATATCATCACACAAAATTAGACAGTCTGCTACCTCTGCCCATTTAACCATAACATAACCATAACAAATGGTGATTTATGCTGTCTGTACAGTCACTAACTTGAAAAGTTAGTATTAAAGACGTGTTACATGAAAAGAAGTATGCTAGTATCTTCTCTTGTCAATTAGAAAATAAAGGGTCTCTGGATCAAAGGGATAAAGTAATCCTTTCCCTTTTACTCTGTCATTAGTTTAGAGATATATCATCTGGCTGCACACATCTTAAGCAAAAGACATTCAATTTTCTCTGTTTGCAAGCAAATTCCATTCTGCGGGAGACTAAAATATTAATGGTTAATGACTCAAAACAATAGGCCTTTTGGGCCATGAGCAGGGTGTTTTCCTGGGGGTTTATGCCCCCAGACTGAGGTAGAGAGGAGAGTTTCTGGGTGTGTGATGGCAAAACCTCTGATCCACATAAGACAGAAGGGGGGGTGAGCACCCACCACCAGAGACTACAAGCTGGGCTTTAGGCCAGATAAGGGAAGGGCCTGACAAGAAGCAAACCCTGTGGAAGTAGGATAGTGATTTTTATTGTGCCAACGTCCTCCCTTACATAATTAGCTCAGCTGTAAAACTCCTCTCCCTGTGGAAGGTATGGGGACACTCACATTCATATGGGACATTTGCATATAGGCTTGAGGGTATTCTTCCCTTCTGATGGGGCATAACTGGCTCAACTACACTGATGTGAGAGGAAGCCATCATGTCTTAGAAGGTGTAATAAACTGTCAAAGATGCCCAAAGTGTCCGCAGACTCTTTTCTGGAACCTTCCATCAGAGGACTGTGCATTATCCACAATGTTGCACCAGACAGTGCAAACTGCTCCCTCAAGAGAGGTACCCTGGGTGCTCCCACATAAGCCTAAACATTTAACTCTATGTTTTGTGGGCTTTCCCGCATCTCCGAGGAAACAAGACTGTGAATAACACTTTTACCAAAGGACATTTAAATTGCAACAATCAAATCTCATAACTGAATCCATGGGTGATGATATCTTTCCCTTCCCTTCCCTTCCCTTCCCTTCCCTTCCCTTCCCTTCCCTT